CAGCAGGAAAAGAGCAGCTTTGACATGATAGCTGTGAGTTGATAAACTTCTGAAGTTTCCTCCCATCTTTATTTTTCATAGTTCCTACCAGGAAGAAAGTAGCCACTATGTGATACTGTTGATGAGTAAAAAGTTCTTTATCTTCTCTTACCTGAGGACCACAGACTGACCCTTTCTTGTTTTCTGTTAAAGATGTCCAAATACTGAATCAACTTTAAGAAAACTGACTTGTTCTTCTTAATTATCAGGACCACAACGGGATGCACAAGCGGCACGAGAGTTCATCCTGAAGATGTTCGTAGACCTGAATCCAGACAGTGACAAAATTATCTACTCCCACTTCACATGCGCTACAGACACAGAGAATATCCGCTTCGTCTTTGCTGCTGTCAAGGACACGATCCTACAGTTAAACCTGAAGGAGTACAACCTGGTCTAACCGTGCCTACGAGGCCCTCCAAAACCAACTTTGCGTGATTAAAGATGTACAAGAGGGACTGTATTATTTGTGAAAACAATTTGCATAATACTAATTTATTGCCGGCCTGGACTCTGTGAATGTCCACAGAGTTTGTAGTTAATATTATGATTTTATTTAAACTATATGGAGGAAAACCAAAAGATGCTGAAGTACATTCACAGCACATTTCCTCATTTTTTAGGCAAAACCACGTGACTCAATGTGTTTTAAATTCTCAGTCGTACATTTACAAAAGATAGCAGTTTTTTGCTATTGAAGCAAAATCAAGCTCGTTTCCTCTTTCCTCGACCCTTTCTCTCTCCCTCTTTCCCCTTCCCCCTTATCTTATACAAGGTACAATGGCCTTTTCTTTCCCAGTTGCATTCCTGGGTGAAGTATTTTCTGTTGAGTGATTTGGTCAGGAAAATACTATCATCAGAATTTAAGTCATCAGTCATGCTAATTTTACAGTATGTACTTTCTCTGAAGGATCAAAAGTATTGATACTGTGATTTTTAAATTCTTGACATAGGTGTCTTCATTCTGTCTTCACTTTTGGGACTAGAATATTGGGATTGCAAAACAGAATTACAGTTGTTCAATGCTATTAAATTTAACCATATTTTTACAGTGCAGAAAGGTTCACAGAAGACAGTAATGAAATAATTAAGACACAAGCTGGAATGTATGTGGAATATATTTAGAATCTCTTTTTAATTGCCATGTGCCATTTCTTTTCTCTCTTTTATTCACAAATGCCAAATAGAAATGTCATAGACACTACATTTTCCCCAGTGGCTACAGCCTGAAACAGTGGGTTTTTTTCAGTTGTGTGGGGTTTTTTTCTTAAGTTAGAGCTTTTTTAAGTGTTCTTTTTCCACAGTAGAAAAATTATTTTTATTGTATAAAATTAGTGTTGCCAAATCTGGCTTTTTATAAAACCAATGCTCTTGAAACAGAAGATACTGATTGAAATGCCAAACTGATGGGTTGGGAACTGACCTGATTGAGTCAACTGCCAAATGATAAACAGTTTCAGCTCATATGTTCCCTTTTTTAGAAAGTGTTCCATTTTCTAATGCCAAAACCAACAGTGTGAGTGAATATGCTACAAGGTGCACCATGCACACGCATGCTGTCTACTAATTTAAATCTCTCCTTATGTCAGATATGGCATGAGATTATTTTCTGTAATAATGCCAAGGCACCTTTAGTTGTGTAACAAGAAACTATTAATGAGAGATCACATTCAGGAACCTTTCTTTATAAGGTTGCTTGTTAACTAACTGATTCACAGACGTTTGATAGGCTTTCATGCAAAATAGCCTCTCTCAATGTTCTTTAGAAAAGATTTATTAATGTAAATGAAACAGAAAATCATTCTTGAAATATAAATGTGCAATTTTTTAACAACAAAAATGCAGCACACAGTGATGAGCCTTTATTCTGCAGCTTAGGTTGAAAGGTGTTTTTTGACCAGGTGCATGATGGCTAGCAAGCTACAGAAAACTCAGAGTTCAGACATGTAATTGGATTGATGATCTGCAATGCCAAGTAGCCCTAGAGTGCACTTAACACAGAAACTGCTGCCTCATAGCAGTGGATGGGAGGTAGAAAAAAGAATGGCTTATTAGATGATTACCAAAGTTAACAATAAATACTAATGAGACGTTTTTCATCCTTAACCCTCCCAACTCCAAATCAACAATAGTAAGAACAGTTGCTATTTTTTGCTCCCTCTTAAAACACCTTGTAATTTAAAACTGGTTGTAGGTATAGTGCAATTATGAATGCTATAATCATTGTACATACATCTATATATATATATATGGCAGCATCCATATTGGCTTTGTAATCATTAATTTTTGGCAAATTGAATGTGCTGTATTGATATGTATCTATGTAATTGTATTGTATGTCTTATAGCTAATTCACATTTTAAATAATGTTATTTTATTTACTTTTTTAAGAGAGAAGAATGTAAATTTTGTCAGTTTATTTCTGACTAGGGATTTGTTGTTGTTTTTTATTTACAAAACAAAAAAAATTACTATAGTACAGAGCGGTACTAGCATCGTGCTGTATAAAATCATTTGCACATTCCTGAGTAGAAGTAAATTGGAGACATTCAGACAGAGGCCATTCGCATTCAAAACAATACTTAAATCTTGTCAGGGCTTCATACAGATGTAGAAACCAGTCTTATTAGAAGAATTTACACCGTTATATCTAGGATTGGAACATAAGCCTTTAAATATAAATTTAATTTACATTTGGCAGATTCACGTTAGGTTACTTTTACTTTTCTAATAGGCTTTATTAGAAAAGTAAGTTTAGAGATATTTCAAACCATTGTACATGAGTACTAATGGGTATATGCTGTTGCCCTAAAAATAGCCTGAAAAGATATGGAACATCAGATCAATCAGCCAGTCTTTCAGAAACTGCAGAAACTTTATATACAACAACAACAACCAAAAAGTCACTATTGTTAATGAGGAGTTGAAGCATTTTATTTAATAAAGCTAAAGCAGGTAGATCTAGGTTATAAAAAGTGACACTGACGTTGTGAATTAGGGGATCAGAGCAGTGACTCTTACATACAGCATTACAAAATTGGTCCTGATCTTGCTACAGAGCTTCTGTTCTCACAGTTTCACTGTTGATAATATCCCTTCTTTTAACCTGGTAATACTGCCATTGCCCATGCTGGATTCAGTGCTATAAATGAAACTGTAGCCAAAAAAGAAAAAAAAAAAAAAAGACAGTGGTGTCTAACAAAGATTTGGGCTTGGGGTTTTTTTTTAATTTGTTTTGTTTTGTTATGGGATATTGGGTGGGGGAGAAGGAAATGTGGTTCTGAGTTTTGTATAAAAACAAAACAAAAGTTTACTCATGCTTTATACTTACATTGTGATTGCAAAAGTTTTCAAGACTGTGCGCCACTGGGCTATTTCTGGTATATTTTAGGTAAGCTGAACCTGTGGCATTGTTTAGATCATTTGAGCATGTTCTGGGGAAAAAAAAAAAGAAAAAAACAAACAAAAAACCTCGGCATGCCAAGGCAAGCTTTACATGAATCACCTAACACACCATTGCAGTGTGACAGTTTACAAGAACATTTCCTTTTTAAATGACGCAGCTGTTCCCACTTGCAGTATATTCCGTTGTTGTGGTGGTGCTGTTGTTGCTGTTGTTTTAATTGGTGGTTTCTACTATGCCTTATCGTGCGTGAGTCCAGAAGTTTGTGCCTCTAACATGAAGCTGAAGGCAAAAACATCAAGACAGAAACCCTTTTAACTTTGCCAAAATTACGTGATTTCTTTGAATGTCATAAATGGGGAGGAGGGAAGGAAAACGTCTTGGGAACCTGTGTATTCTAGATGTTCACTAGCACAAGAAAGCTGTAATACGTGTTTTACAGAAACCTTAAACTTGCCTTTTTCACAAATTAACTGGCACTGTCCTTACATATAAAGGATGATGCAGCTATAAGGGCAGTTTACTTTTTATAATTCAGACTCTTGATTGTCAAGGTGTATGGACTGTAATTTTTAATCATACTGCCACATGATTGTGAATCACTTTTTTAAGTTTGAAAGTGGGGAAGAGACTTTTTATGCTGGATATCAGTCAGAACTGACTGCATGATTTGCAAAAACTCTAAAGGGGGTGGGGGGGAGGGCTGCATATAAAGATATTGCTAGACTCCCAGCCTTCGGTTGTAAGGTGCAGAAGACTTTCAGATTACTCAACCTCATGACCCTTTCCTTGTTACACATTCTTCACGGAAGAATGGAATATTAGGAGAAAACAAAGACATGTTAACCCACATGAAAAAATAAAATTTATCCCATTAATTTATTATATGTGCTGCTGTTCTTGGAGCTCTGTGCATGGTTATCCTGCAGACTATTGCATTAGTGAACTAATGAAGTGTGCGCAGCATATAAACAAGAACTACAAGTGACCTACCTCTAGCTATGAGACCAGTAAAGTAAATATGTTTTGGAGAGACTGTCCTAAGTTAGGAAGTTAAAATGTCCTGCTGTAGGTAGTTAGCTGCGGTATTTTAGAAATGCCCGCTTTTGTAAATGTGTTCCCTCTTTTGACAAAAACCATAAATTCCAATATTTAGTACATGTTAAAAAACTACAGCCATCTGTCCCTGTCCAGTTTGTTAGTTTAGTAGAGATTTCACAAAACCATATGTTCTGTTTGAGAAGAAGAGCTACTAATATTTCCTTTTTTTTGGCTTTTGGTTACCTGTAACATTTTGAGTTTTATCAGTCAAACCAGAAACATTTCTACATAGTCAAGAGTACACTGAGGGTCACTATTTAGCTGGTTAAAGGGATTTTACTGTAAGTTTCACTCAAGCTTTTTCACAGTAGCCATGCTGCAGGAAAGAAAGGAATAGAGGGAGATTTTGAAGATAGTGTGAAAACTACAAAGTTAGCCAGATCAATCTTCCTGTAAATCTGTTGGTTTTGGATTTTTTTTTTTTTCCCCTCAAAATACAGTTTAAGCTGAACTCTGTTGCTGGATTCCTCATTCACCATGCTGCAGGAAATCCTTATTTGACCAATTTTTTGGGGAGGGTGGGGTGTCAGATACATTTCTAAACTTGCAGTATTTAAAAATAAAATCATATTTGCTGTTCTTAAAGTGTCATTTAAATGCATGTATTGTGTGTTATTTGAGGGACAGAATATAGGTTTTTTGGGAAAAAATGAATATTGTACAGTTACTGCCCCTCAAAACTGTTGCTGGTTAAAAATACAGTATTTTTGGCCATAACTTTGTACTACAGTATCTTCATTCCTTGAAATTTACTTTTTCTGAAATATTATTTGGGCTTACTGTTCTCACAAAATACTTCTTACTGTGCTAAATGTTGGATAGGTGTATTATTCCATTATTACTTTTTAATTATATGTGGTCTGTCCTCTGTCTAAATATTAAAATTTCCAGAAGATCTTTATTACAGCCAGAATGTTCAAAACATTTAAGGTTTGCTACAGTGGAGACAGTCATTTGACAGTATTTTTAATAATACTGGTTTTGGTTTGTGCACGGTGGAAACTTGGAAGCATGGGGGAAAAGAAATAATAGTCTATATGTCACTAGTAGAAAATTTTCAGAATCTGTAGATGGCGAGGTGAATTAAGCATTTTGGCCGATTGCAGTAGCACTGCAAGAAGAGACTTTCTTTGATCTTTTTGTTCACCCGTGTGATGATAGGAGTAACGGAAAGATGCCTACATGTTGCTTTTCAGGAGTCTGGCTCATACCTGCTTAATAATCAGTGGATCTCAAATCTTCATTACTGAAGTAATAGAATTTCAGGCCAGTTGCAAAAATGAGTTTGTTCTCTATTTCATGATCACAGCAGTTCAAGTAAGAATCTTGGGAGTCCTAGCGGTTTGCCTAACCAAGGACTTGAGTGAAGGGTTCCCGATTTTTCTTGTTGCAGAATGTAAGGGAGAGGGATCAGTGGGGAAGGATTTATTTTATCTTTATGTCTCAGTGAAGATAATGTCGACAAAAACGCAGTGTTAAGTGGTGATGCTTAGATAAGCGAAATAGATGTAGAAACTGTATCTGTGTGATAAATTGTGCATAGTTGTGATAAAACCTTACATCACATACTGTGATCATACCGCCTAATTACCAGCCGCTTTGTGGGATACTGTCCCAAACACCTAGGAGTTCCAGAGTATTTGTAGACAGCCACAAAATACACAGT